GCCAGCCCGCACAGCCGCAGCAAGGGCGAACGCTCTCCAGCCTTCTCACGGTTGATCAACAACCTCGGACACCATTCCGGCACCCTACATATTACCCAATACTTGTCTTATGTACTGTGATTGACAGTGTTGTAAATGTGACAAATAAGAATTGTGTTAAAATGTGTGAAGATAATTACTTTTGATTAATTTATATTGCCCAAATTTAATATTCACTAACTTGACTTTTCATAGCTCTATTGTCTTTGTCAATATTTATTCTAGTTCAGAATTCATAACTTCCAAGTACTGGCATTTAAAATTCAATTTCTAACACACAATCTATTCCTTAGAAATGTAATTTCTTAAATAAGTCTTACATTACTTTAGAGGATTAAACATTTTTCAATATTTGTTACATAAGCCTATATTATAAGGCAACTTAGAATTTTATAGTTTTCACCCCATTTCTTTTCATAAGACGCAATATTTACCTAATTCCCGCACACTACAAAAACATATAGTAATTAAATAATAACTCACATATCTATGAGAGATGCAAAGGGTTGTACTTCTAGGGATGATCCCATAATGATAAGCAAGTCGCACTTCTGGAAGTCTTCCTGGAGACAGGTCTGGAACCTCTCTGGCAAACTCTCACCAAAGAATACAATATCCGGCTTGATAATGCCTGGACATTCTGTGCATATTGGTATTTGATCCGCAAATATTATTTCTGGAAATTAAAACTGTGAATTTGACATTTGAAAATATTCACACTCTAACAGTGGTAGAGCCCGCTTTAACATCTTCGCACGAATGGGCCGGCTCGCCCGGTGCAATACCACGACCACACAGAAAACAGGCGTGAAGTGGAAGCAATTCCGCGTTTCGTCTGATGAGTGTGGTGCCGGAGGCCTAATTTTAGTCCCGTTCCCTTTCCACCCTTTTCTTATGAGGAAAGGATGGGAAGGAAAAGTGGATTGGACGGTGAGGAGACGCATAGGAAGGGGAAATGTCCTCTTCATGTGCATCTCCTCCTCCGTCAGTTAAGGGT